ACCATTAATTGTCTGTTCTGGCTCGGGGCCAACTAGCATCGCCCCGTGGACCTCCCAGACACCACGGGACTGAGCTGGAGGGAAGGAATCCTCCGGTGTCTGGAGAGCGTCCTGCCCCGAGCCAGAAGCAGCCCACCGCCCTCGGCTTACTCTAGTTCACCAGCCGTTAATATGGCAAGCCCAACGAACATTAAGGTGACAAGCCCGTCAAGCGTTCATGTGGCTCCAGTGTCGGCTCCAGCCCCAAAACTCACTCCAGTGCCAGCTCCTCGAAAGCACTTTGCTGTGCCTGCTCCTCCAGAGCACCCTCCAGTGTCAGCACCACGTAAGCGCTACCCTGATCCACAGTTCAGCCCAGGAAGGGCTCCTGTTCCCGAGTGTAGCCCACAGAGGGCTCCTGTTTCCTCATTAAGCCCAAGGAGGGCTCCTGATTCATAGTTTAGCCCAGGAAGGGCTCCTGTTCCCCAGTTAAGCCCAGGGAGGGCTTCAGATCCACAGTTAAGGCCAGGGAGGGCTCCTGATTCCCCGTTTAGCCCAGGGAGGGCTCCTGATCCCCAGTCAAGCCCAGGAAGGGCTCCTGATCCCCAGTCAAGCCCATGGAGGGCTCCTGATCGCCAGTCAAGCCCAGGGAGAGCTCCAGATCCCCAGTCAAGCCCAGGGAGGACTCCAGCCCCAGAGCTCGCTCCAGTGTTGGCTCCAGCCCCAGAGCCTGCTCCAGTGCCCGCTCCTCGTAAGCGCTTTCTAGAGCGCCATCTAGTGCCTGCTCCTCCAGAGCGCCCTCCCTCCCCGATGTTACTGTTACGGTGTGGGACGTACAGTCCGGGAGGGGGGCGATCTGTCACATGTTTATGTCAACTCCTTGTGCTACGTGTGACTCCCCGCGATATAAATAAATTCCTTGGTTTTGTACTCCTGGTCTCCTCATTCCTCGCTTCGTGTTCCCGCACCGTAGCAACCCGTGACAGCATCATGGTAGTAATTGTTGTACTGCCTTTTAAAAATTATAATTTTTTTAATTATTTTTTTATGACAATGAAGCACATTTTACACAGCTGTCATTGCCATAAGGCAACAAAATCTCATCACTTTTATGTGGAAAAAAATACATAAATAAATAAAAGCCAGTACAAAAATTATAACCATGATACTTTAAAATGTTTTATTTATTTATGTATTTTTTTCCACATAAAAGTGATGAGATTTTGTTGCCTTATGGCAATGACAGTTGTGTAAAATGTGCTTCATTTTCATAAAAAAATAAATACATAAAAATAAAAATCATAAAAGCCAGTACAAAAATTATAACCATGATACTTTAAAATGTTTTATGATTTTTATTTTTATGTATTTATTTTTTTATGAAAATGAAGCACATTTTACACAACTGTCATTACCATAATGCAACTAAATCTCATCACTTTTATGTGAATTCTTCAAATGTTTATAATTGATTCCCATCACCATAAGCATGAAAAAAGCTCTCCTCAAACAACAGGAGGTCTTCATGTATGACTGAAAGCAGCGATTAGCGAGTGACCGTCCATCTCATGAATACTAACATATGCTGGTTTGTCATCCGTGCACATGGAATCCTTCCTCCAGCAGATGGAGGTTTGTTCGAGAGCATTTGGTGTCCTCAATTACTAATTAATCTGACCTTTGAAAGTGAACAGCGAAGAAAATTAGGCAACAACTGTATGTGGCAAGAAGCTCCACCATCTGGATTCTTCAGCTGAGATGTTTGTGTGGGATATACTTGCTTTGTGCTAAACTCTGTCCATTTCATTCTTCTAAAGCCATTAATTGTTTTTTTAGACACCCTAAATCCCTTCAATTGATCACTTTTAAAGTTGAGAGCTTTGCACCGTTTGACTGATGAAATAAATTGCTCTCGAGATTTGAAAGTGTTCCTCTCAATTGCAGTTATTGAATGAAAGGGTTTGAAGAGTGACTTGTTTTCTGGTCAAGAATCATGCATGTGTTAAGTTCAGTCATCAAGTTAATGTAGTTCAAGGCAGATAGTTAATGTTGTTCATGGAGTTCAAGGTGTAAAACTCAAATCACAAGTGAGATCTCATTCTGAGATCAATGTCTCAGTGTGTACAGTATACAGTATACGTGACATTTCTCCTAGCCAGCAATGATAATAAATAAAAAGCAAATTGAAACTTTTGGTGAAGTCTCTTGCTTCTCAGCTTTTGTCCTGAGAAAAAGACCAATGGTAATCTCACAAGTCTGCGTGACAGTTTCATAACAGATTTTAATGTCTCAAACTGTACTCAGATGCGTTGAAATTCAGAGGTCTGCACTTGAAATGAAACATTTCTCATCAAATTCTTCTAGTTTATCTAAACTATTCATATTATTTCTATATAATTCTGTATGTAATATACTGTACATACACACAATATATACTATATATATATATATATATATATATATATATATTTATTTATTTATTTTTTTGGGCCCAACATTATTTATTTATTTAGTTGTTTGTGTGTGTGTGTGTGTGTGTGTGTGTCTTTGTTTGTTTGTTTATGACTGTTTATTTATGACTTTCAATTTTCTGTAGAACAATAAAGAAGATATTTAGAAAAATGTTTAAAAAATGTTTAAAAGTTCAAAATAGTGTAAAGTAAGTAAAACATTTAAAAAAACTAAACAAAACCAACAACAACCAACAATAAATAAATTAAAAATAAAACGACAACAGCAACAACAAAAAACATTTGGGTTCAAAGTCATTGTGGTTCAAAACAACATTGGGACACTGAATTTCATTCAAAACATGAAACAAAACCCAAAACATATAAACAAAACAAAACATTTTTGTTTAACATTTCTTCCTTTGTTCTCCACTGAAGAAAGTAAGTTGTACAGAGTTATAATGACATACAGATGAATAAACAGTCACTATTTTTGCCTGAATGATCTCTTTAAGTCCTGATGTTTAATATTCAGCTGTCCTTATTTCCACTACACTCTCTATACACCGATCAAGTATGAGCAGTCTGAGAAAAACAACTTCTCTTCTGCAGAGGGACTTCTTGGGCTTTGACACATCTAGTCGAGGAACCAGGAACTTCCTGAGGTCGATCCCTTGAGCAATATAAGCACATAGGGATGGGAAGATTCCCCGATTCACTCGGTGCATCGGCATAAAAAGTTAACGATGCGATGCATCGGTTTAAAAAGTGTGCATCGGCTACAAGTTGTAATTTATTTTGCGATACATCGTGTCTAACATATTTGCATCGGTAAAAACCAATTCATATATATATAATTATAGTGGATGCGCTATACTTTTATTATTTAGAAAGTGACCAATAATCTGTGACGAATATTTTATATGTAGATTGATTTCTCCTCTCTAAACTGTTTCTCAAGCGCGCTCTCTCATCACCGCTGCTGCTGCGTGAATATGACGCATCACAACACGGCGGAGACCTGAGGAAAAACTGGGATTAAAGTCCAAAACCTGACTTGAAATAACCTAACAAATCAATCGGGGCTAAAGCGGTTCCATAAACAACAAATTAAATTCACACAATCTCACTAATTTGTGCACGCTTAATCTTAAGCTGTTGTGGCCTAGTGGTTAGAGAGTCGGACTCGTAACCCAAAGGTTGCAGGTTCGAGTCTCGCCGGGATTGTAGGTGGGGGGAGTGAATGTACAGCATAAATGGCTGCCCACTGCTCCGGGTGTGTGTTTACGGTGTGTGTGTGTGTGTGTGTGTGTGTGTGTGTGTTCACTGCTGTGTGTGTGCACTTTGGATGGGTTAGATGCAGAGCACTGATTCCAAGTATGGGTCACCATACTTGGCCACATGTCATTTCATTTGAGACGTGTTTTCCTCTGTGCATAACTGACATGTCACATGTATATTTTTCATCTGTAAATGTTATAAAGTCATGCAAACATGACCATTTTGCTGTCAGGAGTGGGCGAGTGAACGAGCGCTGCTGCGCGCTAAACAGACAGAGTGCAATCGTATAGGAGCGCAATAAAATAATAATAAAAAATACAAGTATATTTAAGTATAAGAGTAAAATATACATTTTGCTAAAAAAAATGTTTTTGGACATTAAATGTGTCTTTTGTAGAATTTTAAACCTACATATAAGTATTTTTATGATAGCAGTAACTGTAAAGGGACTATTGTAATAGTTAAATCAAATGTAAGCTAATACAGTACTAATTACTAAGCTCAAATGAGTTAATGTGTGTCTTATAGCAGTTAGAATGTAGTCATTTTCTTTATTTATTTTCATTTTTAATCAGTGATTTGAACTTTTAATTTAGTTATTTTAATGCTTTAAAGAACAATTTTAGATTGTAATGTTCTAATGTTCTGCTATCTGTTCTGCAAACTATAAAAGGTACAGCTGTTATAAAACCATAGAGAAAGGCTGCATGACTAGAAACTGTAAAAAAAAGTCAAAGAATAGTATGTGAGACAGTGGTAATATCATTATGTTCCTATTGGTCAGTGTTAAAGGAGCTTAGCTTAGCCTGACAGTTAGCCTGCTTTAGACCAGGTTAGTTTCCCAGCATAAGTTGCCACAGTGACTAAGCTTGATCTAGGCCTACTTTGCTTTATAAAACAGGCTTCGAGGCATTAAAAGTTATCATATTTTTCCATTGCATCATATTGCATCAAATCGCATTGTGTTGAATCGAATCGAATCGAAATCGTATCGCACTGCATCGTAATAGGGGTGAATTGTATCGCATCGGTAGCTGCTTCATATGTATCTTTAATGTATCGTATCATTGGCTATGTATCGAGATACGTATCGTATCGGCCTGAGTCATGAGATGCACATCCCTATAAGCACACAAGCAAAGATTATGACATGAACTGCGTCTAGGAGGGCTGCTGGAATCGACTTCTGCTTGCTCACATTCCCAGAGACGTGTCCACTCGTTCGCCCTCTTCATGGAGGCTTACAGTCGCAGAAACAGAAACGTAACATTCTTCTCTTTTGTTTCGCAGGGGATCTTCCCAGCCGGCTACGTCCACTTGAAGAAGGCTGTCGTCACAAACAGGGGGTAAGTGTCTTTATACTGATTCATGTCAAGCTGCTCCCTCAATAGAGAACAAATGGGTTGGACGAGGAAAGGTGACGGGGAGAGAGATGGATGGAAGAGAAGCGTAATCTATCTCAATCCTCTGATTCCCTTTCTCCTCTCCTGCTGGCTCACGAGTTTCATCACAAGCCTGAAAGGCTGAGGTTTCATCTTTTGGAAGATCTCTTACTCCCATTTCTCTCTGTCAAATATTTGCTTCATATATGAAGTTTGGTGTGACGTGAGACCATCAGCTCCTGGGATTCAAATGCTTCATGTATTGAATGTTTTTTTTAAGGGATAATCGATTTAATGGATAATCAGAGAGGTTTATATCGCCTCCCCTTGTGAAAAAGAAGAGTATCGCATGTGTAGTATACTTTAAATCTTAAAAATATATGCAGATAATATAATATTAATGAAATGAAAGTGCACTTAAAGAGAGACATTTTCATGACTGTTTCTTAACACACTTAAGTGAAATTTCAAGAAGTGCACTTTGTAATAAAGTCTAATTAAAAGTTTTGCTTCAACATTAATTTTAAATCATTATGTTATTGGTTCACTATGTATTTTAGTTTTCCATAAATGCTTTTCAGTGCATTCAGGAACACATTAGAATTATGTATTTACATACAGATGTACTTTCGAATGGGTCAAAAAGCTAAAAAAAAACTTAATTGCATTTAGTATGAATTTAAACTATAACACATTTTCATTTAATTAGCAATTAACATACTTTTAAGTGTCTGAAAAGATTGCATTCAGTTTGCACTTGAAGAAGAAGAAATAGATCACTGAAAACTAAAAATTACTCTTCCTTAGGCCAATCGTGATGTAGATGAGTTTATTTATTTGTCAAATTTGGAATAATTTAACATTGCATCACTTGCTCAGCAATGGATCCTCTGCAGTGAATGGGTGCCGTCAGAATGAGAGTCCAAACAGCTGATAAAAAAATCACAATAATCCGCAAGTAATCCACACCACTCCATTCCATCAGTTAATGCCGTATGAAGCGAAAAGCTGTGATTAGATTGTGGAAAGATTGTTTCGCTTTTACAGATTCATTCACAGGTTTGAATCTGATTCAGTGATTCAGTGGCACACTGAATGTTAATGGTTAAGGCATGCAGTATAAAGAGACGGAGAGAACGGGAAAGAGTGAGCAAGAAAGAGAGCAGAGAAGCTCCGGGCCGTCACTCCCAGTGGGAACTCACTGCCGAAAACACGCAGGAAAACTGCACATCAGGGACTGCACATTGTCGGTCAACAGCTTCTTCTGTTTGTTTTAGCTTTTGATGTTTTCCAACTTTTTCACAGGTGTTTGCGCATGGCACCGTGAGTTGAACTTCACAGCTTCCCTCAGCACTCACGCACATGCGCAAACAAGCCTGTATTGTGTGAAGGCAGCATGCTAGAGTAGATCCCAGCAGTCGTGTTCAACACATACATGTTTACAAACAGCTTTACTTAGAAAATATTACACAATTATCTTAAAACCCGTGCACACTCTCGTTCACCTTTGATAATGATGCATTATGCACTGGAACAGTTTTTTACAGTATTTATTTTGTTCATGTCAGTTACAGTGTAAGTGTAGGACACATAAACATTAAATCAGTAAAATACAGTTTAAATAATATTTTTATAAAGTTTAAAGTACTATTTTGAATATAGAAGTTTAAATATTTAATACACAAATATATATTTTAGGTATTAAATGTTATACATTATTTTTACACATTTACATTTTTTTTTTAAATTCTCGTTTACGTAATTAAAAAAAAAAAACACATGAATATTGTGTTATTATTATTATAATCATCAAAAAACACCAATATTTAATCAACCGACTGTTTAATCAGCTCACAACAATGAATTACACAACCATTTAAAAGTTTGGGGTCTGTAAGTTTCTTCTGCTAACCAAGGCTGTATTTATTTGTTCAAAACTACAGTAAAAGCTGTGAAATATCAGTTGCCTACTATTTAAAATACCTGTTTACTACTGTAATATATTTTAAAATGTAATTTATTTCTGTGATTGAAAGCTCAATTTTGTCACGTCACATGATCCTTCAGAGATCATTTTAATATGCCAATTTAGTGCTTAGTAATTATTTATTTAAAACAGTTAAAACAGTTGTGCTGCATCATATTTTTGTGAAAACAGTGATACAGGATTTTTGTCAGGAATCTTTGATGAATAGAAAGTTCAAAGAAAAGCTTTTATTTGAAATAGAAATTTTTTGTAACATTATAAATGTGTTTACTGTCACTTTTGATCAATTAATTTAATGCATTTCACTGACCCCAAGCTTGATTGGCTATCCAAAGGGTAATTTCTAAATGACTTAAAACTACAGATCATGTTTTAATGTATTAATGGTAGGTGACCCCATATTTGGGTTTTAGGTGATCCACAATCCATTTTTACTCTTAAAGTTCTCCACCACCTGAAAAAGTTTTAGACTTGTCTATGTAAATAGCTATGGTGCTGTGATGTTGTTGCTTACCTTCAGTTACAGGGAGTCATGTCCAGCCGTGTCCCGGGATCAAATTATAGCGTCTCATCAGAATTCACAAAACAAGGAGAAAATGACTCTGAAAGCTGTTACTTTGGACACATGTGATGATAAAGCAGAATAAAGACATCAATCTGTTTCCACCGTGTGTCAGAGAAGGACAGTGGAAGGACAATGAGGGCTGATGGATGTATAACAATATGGAGAGATGGATGGACAGGAAGAGCTAAAGAGACAGCAGGAAGATGAACAGGAGAATTTAATGCTATTGGTTTATGATGATAGCTCTGCATACAGTATGCTGTTATTTTAAAGGCCCTGTATGAAATGCTTTAACAAAGTTAAACAAATGATTTAAAGGCACAATATGGAGTTTTCGCCGCTGGAGGGTGCGCATTCAAAATAAACAAAGAGACGTAGGTGTAGTTTGATGACGCTGTGACTGAGTGTGGAATCATGGGAGTTGTGGTCTTCATCCCCACAGCTGATGCAATCCGACGGGACTCGGGCAGAAATCATGTTCATGGATGAGCTAATGATTTATTAATGTAGTAGAATGAAGCAGGGTGAGGCTGAAAGCCGTCGAAGCAAAACGAGGCCGCTGAACGAGCGTGACACACGGCTCGAAAGCAGCGGAGCTTTTATTATGCCACAGTCGACCGCTTCCGCTCCTTCCGGTCGTGCATATGCGGGGTAAATCAGCGCTGTTTTATCATACTAGATACATTTGAAAGTTCTGTTATAATGCTACTCTGTGTAGTCATCACCGGTCTATTAAAACGCACAACATATTAAAGCGTCTTTGGTGTTTCCATGTTTTCTACAAAACAAAACCGGAAAACGAGGGTGTATGACGTCATTAGCAGGCGACACAATGACACTATAGACACGCTCCGTGTCACTAGTTAAAATTGCTTATTTCTCTGGATTTAAACATTCTCTGAAACATTTGGGATACTGTAAGTACACAAATCAGCAAAATATATAACTCTGTTCTAGTGGTTTTGGGATATTTTAATAAAAAAATCTTACATATTATGCGTTTAACAGTAATTTTTAATATAACAATTTATGTCTATTTGTGATATATATATAATTATTAATGTTAATTATTAATTAATATTAATTATTATACATTTTATTTTATTATCTTTTTTCCCTATATATATATATATATAAATATTAATTAATTAATTAATATTATTTATGCATAAATAAAAATGTTATTTAGGTTATTTTTTTATTATTTTTATTTAAATATAGTAATCATTTATTACTACTAACTAATTTTGAGGATAGATAGATAGATAGATAGAGAGAGTTTTGTTATTTTCATTATTTTATTTAAAATAGTAGTCATTGCTTCTACTTTTGTGAATGAATATAATTAAAAAATAATTATTTATTTATTTATTTGATAAATAAATAATATTTTTGCACAAATAAAATGTTTTTATTCAAATATAGTAATAATTTTTTATATATATATTTTTTTTTATAATAATCATGTCTACTCACACTTTGGAGGGTGATCACGCTAACCTCTGGTCAATGTTTGTTGTTTTCTGCTTTGGTTTGACTAACAGACAGACAGACTTGATGTTATTTGGATTATAATTTTTTATAATACAGTATTCATTCTAACCACTTGTTGAAGGGCAATCACACTAACCTGTGGTCAATGTTTGTTGTTTCTGTGCAGGCAATATGAGACTGTGGTCCCGCTGGAGGACCCCATCATTACAGAGGTCACCTCTACGCTGCAGGAGTGGTCCGTCCTGTGGAAGCAGCTGTATGTGGTGAGTATCGTACCATCTGACGGGATCCTCCATCTTCACTCCACTGTGGGCAGGAGAGGCCATTTGCCTGTGCTACAACAACAAATATCACTCGAGAGGCTGGATTATAGTACTTTCAGTCATGGAACCGCCTTTGCTCAATCTAGTAGACAGTTTGAGAGTGTGTTGTCCAATATTTCATAAATATGTAGTTTTGAAGGAGATACGGCCAAAGACATACCCCTGGCACATGTGAACATACTGTAGAGCAACAATTAAAAAAATAGCACAGACTGAATGCAAGAATGTGTTTTTGGTGAACAGGCTGCTAGTAAATGAGTTTCTGTGCAAATTGTTTGTAAACAGTACAATAATTTACATAAAAATGCTTTAACAAATTATTTATTAAACAAAAGAAGAACAAATTTATAGAATGATTTATGAATTGTGTAATAATTGCATAAGAATTGTATAATTATGAGTTGTATAATCGGTGCGTCACATGATCAACTGCTAAATTCAAATCTGCTTTTGCGCTTTTCCTGGCGCTGAGCCAGAGATGGACGCACTCAGTGTTTGTCATATTATCACAACTATTCAGTGTTTTCAACCACTTAATGCTTATCAGACATTTAAATACACAAGTATTAGCACAATATACATTTATAGCTTATAAAATACACACTGATGTATAGGGAAGCCATAATAACGATCCTTACAAATATAATTTGATGACATGTTTTATTGATATCATATACACGTTGTGTAGGTAACAATAAAGTTTACTCTATTCTTCTCCCTGTTCACCAAAAACTTACTTTAATGTCTTTCTGGAGCAGAGGATGAATTTACATGTTGTAAATCCCACAGCTCGGATTCAGCGCGAACTAACATGGCATCATCATGGAAACAATAAGGCGATACGTTCTAAAATAATGGTTGCCTAAAAAAAACTCACACTGTGGAAGTCTGCTGGAATTATAAATGAAAACGAATTCATGAATCACACATTTGACAATTTATGTATTGCATGGTTGTGAACGATTCATGAAACAAGCATAATTCATTTATAAATCAATTTATAAAAGTTCATTAGTTCACATAAATATGGTTACAAATTAAAGCTAATTTATGTATGACATGGTTGCGAACAGTTCATAAAACACAATTATTGCAAATTTATGAAGCGCTCCTTTGATAGTTTACCCAAGAAAGTTAACGAACAATTCATAATACTCAATTATTGTAAATTTATGAAGCGCGTGTTTGATAGTTTACGCAAGAAAGTTTACGAACAATTCATAAAACTCAATTATTGCGGATTTATGAATCACATGTTTAATAATTTATGCAAGAAAGTTTACAAGCAATTCATAAAACATAATTATTGTGAATTTATGAAGCGCGCGTTTGATAGTTTACGCAAGAAAGTTTACGAACAATTCATAAAACTCAATTATTGTGAATTTATGAAGTGAATGTTAAGAAAGCTCACAAACAATTTATGAAACACAAGCATAAATGATTTATAAATTGCATGATTGTGAATGATTGCATGGTTGTGAAATGAGCAGAACAAATTTATGGATCATACAAATTTGAGAATTGACATGCTGTACAAATGGTTATGAACATCGTGAGCAGAAAGAATTTATGAAATGGATGTTCAATAGTGTAAGAATAGTTTTACGAATGATTTGGAAATGAAATTACTATGCTTGAGTTTCACAAATGAGGCACGTTGTGTCCTCTTCGGGCTCAACCAATGGCGCGAGTTGTAGGCGGGGCTACCGGTTTACAATCTGTAGCATGGAAATTGAGAAATGTGCAAATGTTTCATTGCCTGTTTTTCTTTGCCCTCCCTCCGAAATGCAAAAGGAAGCTTTTCTGAATTTTGTTATCTTAATGAATGAATTTCAAAGAGTACTTTTAAGTTGCCTAAGCAAAGGCCCATGAAGCTGATGTGAATAATGATTAGGCAGAAGAGGCTTTGTGGAAGTCATGAATGCGCTGCTCTCCTCACACAGAGGCTCTATGAGATCTGACAGAGCCCTTTATGTAAGCCTGTGCTGAGGATTACCTAGCATTAGTGTACGACATGACAATAGAGCATTCTCTCTCTCTCTCTCTCTCTCTCTCTCTCTCTCTCTCTCTCTCTCTCGTTTTTCTCTGTGACTCTGGATGTTTTAGGGATGTCAGACATGATGTAATCACTGAGATTACATAGAGGCTCTATGAGATCTGACAGAGCCCTTTATGTAAGCCTGTGCTGAGGATTACCTAGCATTAGTGTACGACATGACAATAGAGCATTCTCTCTCTCTCTCTCTCTCTCTCTCTCTCTCTCTCTCGTTTTTCTCTGTGACTCTGGATGTTTTAGGGATGTCAGACATGATGTAATCACTGAGATTTTAACTGTGTTGATTCATATCATTCGTCATTTCTTACTGCCATTTTGACTATTTACTGCTCAGTATAAAGATGACAGAGCATTTTTGTTCACACATTCATTATCCATTATTAACTACAAGCACACATTATGAATTGCATTGTTGTTAAATTGGCTTTAGTAGTAGTAGTAGTAGTAGTAGTAGTAGTAGTAGTAGTAGTAGTAGTGGTGGTGGGTGGTAGTAGTAGTAATATAACATTATTATGTTATTGATCTTATTTTACCATAAGGCACTGGTTAATAATAGTAATTAAAAATCAAAGCTTTATGGACAGGTAAAGTAATAGTATTAATCATTTTATATTACTGTTATCAATAACAATTGTTATCAGTAATAATAAAAATAATAATAATAATAAAAAGTTGTTTCACAAGTGAAAAATATATTACATTTTGAAAAAAAAGTCACGAAAACATGAACATGTTATGTAAACTATATTTGTTTAATAGCTGTATTAGAACAACTAAACTGCATAAAATATGATGCTATATTTTTCAGAGAATAAATGGTTTAATATTCTTAATATAGTTCAATGTTTGCTGTCTATTGCCCTATTATGTTTAAATATCACAAAATGAAGTTAGGTTTATGCTTAGAACAAGAAAAAAAACAATGGGGTAAGAAAAATTAATGTTATTTAAAAATACAGTATAGTCTCTGAAAATACATTTTAATATATTTTTCATTTTAAGGATTGTTAGAAACTGATTAAATGTGTTTTTGCAGTGTTCCAGCACACATCACATCACATCAGAGAAAACAGCTTGTTTTTGCATTTTCCTCTGAGGACTATTTTTAAACCGTAACATGTTTCCTCAAACACCTTTTTGTTCTCAATCATCACTAATTCAAAGACATGAAAGCTTGTAATAAGGCTTCCAGGATTCTGACAGCACTTGTAATGCGGCTCAGAAAATCAACGCTAATTTGGTGGCCGGCTGAATCAAGGATGACTAATTCGGACTGATTTGGGTTGCGTAACAAGGCGAACACAGAGCATCGCGAGGCTGAGACTCAGCTGATAGTGAAGATTCACTCTCCGCGGCTCCTGTTAGGAAAACGTGGACAAGACAACAAGCAGCCAGTCACGTGGAAACGCTTGTTATAATGATTGTAACAACAACCGTCTCAATTAAGATCTCAATGTATTTGGGACTCCGACCAAAGCCTCCACTCTTATCAGAAGCCAACGCACGCGATAAATGTATTGGACTAATTAGTCAACAGTGTTTTCTGAATTTGCTGTTTGCAGTTTGGCTGTGGCTGGTCTGGCAGATGCACTTTGTCATCTTCACATCGCTGTGGATGTGCTGTTAGCAGTATGTTAATATTATCATTAGCTTGGCAGGTTTGGCTAGGTTTGGGTGTTTATAACTGACAGTCTGGCTGTAATGTTTATTTAATTGTGTTTGTTAATTTTATAATACTATTTTATATACATTTTATAAACAATTTCAGGTGGTACATTGTACAAACTACTGATTAATACTATTAAATAATAATAATATTTTTATTATTATATTAATATTATATTAAATAAAATAATAAATATTAATTTATTCATTAATTCATACAACGGTTATTTCTGGTCCTCGAATCTGATTAGCTAGGAGCTCTTTCCATCCATGAGATATTCACATGGGAACCGTTTCACCACTTGTATCATAGGTATGTATACGTAGATGCCTCATTAGCGACTGTTTCTATGGGTCGCTATACATAAGCTGTCCGCCATATTGGAAGGGTCAACTTGACGTCATTCACCATAACAGTAACTTAAGTTACCAATGTTTCAAAATACAAACCAACACATTCACAGAAAAGAAAAGGTTATCCTGTTTCTTTGGGAATTTAAATCCCAGAGGTTTTTACAACCAGAGGCTGTGCAGGGTTGTGGCATCTTTGAATATTTATTGATTATTATGGAGAAGTTGACCGTTTAAGATGGCGGACACATCAACGTGCTTGGCGCAGTCGAATGGGGAATCTACCTATACATATCTATGGCTTGTATCACTCCACTTGCGCTATTTCTCTCAGTGAGTGTCATGGCAGACGCCCAAATCCACTATAAATTTAGAAATAATAAAGTGTTTGTGTCATAGAATGTATTTTAAAGAGTTTTTTAGGTGATAATGTACTTGTTTAGATTTCAAATATGCGGTTTGTTAATAAAGATAACGCCTATTTGAAAATTTACTTCAACGTTTTCGGAGATGTGAGCTCCAGGGCGTCAGCACTCATAAACCCGCCATCTTTGCCGCTGGCTCTGATGTCTCTATAGTGATGAAACCTGAGATATAATTTGTTTGGGGTAATTCTAACGGGCAGTCTTTGGTCTCATTAATCTATTATTTGTTCCAGAGCAAATAGTTTTGCTGAGGGCAAAATCTCATCACGTTATATTTTATGTAACTTTAATGCTGTATATCAGAGCGCTGACTTTGTACTTTTGACTGAATTGTCTAGCAACTTTTATGATGGCATTGTTGTTTATTAAATATTATTATTCAAGTTCCAGAGCAAATAGTTTTGCTGAGGGCAAAATCTCATCACGTTATATTTTATGTA